TATCCTGCAGTGTGTTACGTGTTTCCTATAGTACACTCTGATATCCTACGGTGTGTTCTCAAACAGAGAAGCTGCTGCCAGCGTTAGTAATGAAGAACAAATACTTCAGGTGGCTCTAACGGCTGCCTTTCCATTCAGATAAGCTATGCACGCACAGCTGCATACATGCGCACATGCTCAACCTGACGTGCTGTGTTCATTTGTCGCACCATGGGACACCCTGTAGGCTTAAACAAGAGCCCCAACAAGCCCTTTGCCAAAACTGCATTTATCATTGAAAGTTCAAGCTAATGCTCAGACTGTCAAAACTGGAGTCCTTATCAAAAATTAACTTTACACAAACTAATGCAGGAAAGGGTTTAGGAAACCCGTGTTCCCAAACCCTTTCCTGTCGGCGCCACAGAGATATGAAGTTGGTCACATGACCTTCATCTCACCAGAGATGCCTCTTAGTGTGCACATGTAATGCTGCCTAAGTGTCAACAGTCTCTGTTCATGAGTACACTATGTACTTTGTGGTTGATCAAAATAATTTGTGCCTTTCCCCACACACCCGTCATTACCAGCGACGCTTGCATTGTTTTCACCTTGTGAGTCGTAAATAATGTGAAACACAAGAGTTGCTTTCCTTTTACTCCAGTGCTCCACTGAAGGAATGAGCTTTGGCGCTGCATTTTGAAGCAATATTATATTGTCTTTTCTTTACTGTTGACTATGCTGGAGTTCAATGTCGCATTGTGATCAGGTCATTTGAAGGCTACTCCTATGGAGCAGCCACCAATCGTTTTAGGCTGATATTCATTCTAAATAGCTTGATTGGTGGTCTGAATATTACGCGTTGATTCTCAATGAAAAATGTTTTTTTAAACTAATTTGTCTGCTTTCTCGCCTGCTCTTTAATGAGCGACAAAGCTGAACACACACATACACACACGCTGCACACAGAGCTTGTAACAGTGCATCCCTCTTCCACGTCCATCTTCGAACTCAACCTTCATCTTGATCTCAACTACACACCTCTAAAGTCTCGTAACTGCATCTTGCACGTTGTGACATTATCACGTTGACAAAGTCGGTCCACAGACAGACATGTACAACGAGGCCAAACACACACAGACTCACAGGGCGTTAACAATAATGGACACACGCTGTCGCAGCTGCCAACCACATGCTGTTGTGATTGGTGAATATCCAAAATAGAAATATGACGTGTATTTAAAACCCCTGTGAAGCCAGAGGAGGGCTGATGAGTGGAACGTCGACTCACCTCATCTTCCTCCATCTCCTTCAGAATAGCAGCCAAATCCTTTCCCTGAAGCTGCTCGTGCAGTAACTGCAACTTCAGCTCACACTGGGTCATCAGCTCCAACACAAACTCACCTGAGTCTGGAGACACTTCCGCCAGCGTGTCCTCACTCTGGAGAGAGGACACATTAAGGGACAAGTAAATCGACACACATTAAGTCAGACCGTAAGTTTAGCCTCCAGTCATGACGGTTGAAGTTGTGTTTACCAGTGGGATGTGTTGAAGTTTGTCTGCGAGGTGCTCCACTCCGGCTCGGACGGTACCGCTGGCTTTAACAAGACACTCCAGGCGCTCTTTGACTGCATCACACCTCTGCTGTTGAGCCTGCAGTTGCATCTCACACTCCCCCAGCATCTGTTGGTCACTAATAAAACCACAGAGAAAGTGTAGACATTACACGGCTGCATCCACAATTACTTCGTTCCGCTGCAGTACTACATGTCTGAATGTCTCACCTGGAATGTTTAGCCTCTCCAGAATATTTCATATCCTGGAACTGTTGGCTCAGGAGCTCCTTCTGCTCCGTCAGCTGCTGCAGCACCTTCTCATTTTCTCCCTTCAGCTTCTCCAGATGTTGGTGTGTCTCCTTCTGTGAGATAAAGCGCTCCACTATCTCCTGCACACACATGTCCAAAAAGAAGAACCTTATATGTTAACACTACCCACATACTATGTAAATACATCCGTGTACAGTGTGTGTTTTTGTGTGCATGAATACACAGCTGGTGTTTCCGCATCCATACCTGTACATCTGTGACCCCGGTGGCCTCCTTGATCTGTTGGAAGGCCTCCTCGAAAGTGGAAATGGTCTTATCCTCTTCACCCCCCATCCTGGAGGTGCTGCGCTGGGCTTCACTGCTCAGCTCATCTGGCTGCATAGTTGTTCTCTGAGCCTCAAAACATAAATAATGAACTGTCATTATTTGTACTAAACATTAGATAGTAATAAGGGTGACTGAGTATTGTAGGCCTTCTGTGGTCATGTTTCTTGATGTCGTGTTTAATCGTGTGCACATGGCCAGTGAGAAAGTAGGTGATCAAAAGAGGGAACATCAAAATAATGTTGTTGAGGTGTACACACACATATATATATATATATATATACTGTATATATATATATATATATACCACCACGTGTATCTCACCCTTCTGTCGACTTTTTCAGCCTGGGCCTTGCGCTCCTCGACCTTTTTCCTGCAGCTTGCTATGATGCGCTCTCTCTCCTTGCGCTCCTTGTAGAGCAGTTCTTCCTGCTGCTGTAATTCAACCTGGTGGGGAGAGAAAACGGGAAGAAGAGCAACATTGTTTGGGAGAAAATTGCTGTTTGCACGATGTATAGTGATGAGGTAGGTTAATGTGTCTGTTTTTCTAAGTTGTATATACTGTATGCATCACCGCGAAAATGACACTGGTGAACAAACACTGAAAAAGCCGCTGTGACTCATGTAACTTCTATAGTTTTAGTAACGGTGAGTCAATCGTCCTTGTGACGCCTTCACTAGTGACACGCATGTTGAAAACGCATAGCAGAGGAGGTTTGCCAGTCACCTTAGCAGTGTCTTTAGAGAGTTGCGCCTTGTTGTTCATGCCCTGCATGTCGTGAAGCTCGTCTCTGTGCTTCAGGATTTCTGCCTCCAGACCGTCCAACTGGCTCCCGAACGTCACACTCTCCTCCTGAAGTGGAGGAAGGACACACAGATGTAGAAAGTGAGTGTTTCTAGAGTAAAGTAAAGGCTCATCAGAGGACTTGATCTATTAATGCGCTTTAGCTGCACTGGATAACATCATTAACCAAATATAAAATGTAACTGTAAATAGATTTAAGTGCATTGTCTAGCACCGGTAATGTCTGTAAAGTAAAGTGACCGAATGAAAAATGTCTTCAGTAGAAAACAGAGAGGTCAGGTTTAGTGCAAACAAAGGTAAAGTGAGTACTGTACGACTGTGGACGTCTCACTCAACGTTTACGTATCACAAACACAACACAGTGTCATAGTACAGGTCTTTACCCTGCAGAGAAACAGCAAACATCCATGTTTTTCTCTACATGATTCCTATATTATTAGCAGGCTTTGTACAAAACACAGCCTCATAAGAGTGTCTGCTTATGGAGGATGCACAGCTTCCACATTACACAAGTTGCAAAATAATGTCTAGAATATGCAGCTCAGCACAACGACACACTAGTTATTACAGGAGGCGGAGACAACAACGCCTCCGTAATATGTCCAGCAGGTGAACCTTATACAGTGGGTATGTTGGACTGACCTGCAGATGACTTTTGAGTTTCTGATAGTTGATCATGATGTTCTCGGCCTCTTTGCATTTAAACTGGGTCTTCTCCAGACTGTTCTCCAGCGCCCGCAGGTTCTGAACACACACGTGCACATTGTTTACAGACTGTGTGCTGTGACGTTATGTGTGAAAAACAGGAAAATAGAATTAGCTTTATGTTGTGCGTATTTCTTCATGAGGTAACCACCATGGCATCTTCCTCCTTCTTCTGAGTGCGAGCGTCAGCAGACGGTGCTCCACTGCTGCCCTCTGGTTTCCTTCTCTGGTATTCCATCTTCAGCTCTTGGAGGCGACGCTGCTGGGTCTGGGTGGTGTGTTTCAGGGCATTGAGCCGCTGCACCTTGCACAGCACCCTCTGCTCGAGTGTTGTCAGAGCTGCCTGAGAAAAGACAGAGTGTGTGAGGGACAGAGACAGACATGAAGACAGTGAGCGGGAAGCAGAGAGAGCTGCAGAGAGAACTTTCTCCATTTCAAATTGTGTTGTTACATAGCTATCAACAATATTGAGGGGTTAACAGTGGGAAACCCTTGGGTGAAAATAGTCCAACAATATCATTTTGTAGTACACGATATGAAAACATATCTAAATGATCTATTAATAATAATAAGGGTAAACAACAACGCTGCTATGAAGCACAATATCGAACAGTATCGATGCTCCTTCCTGTCACCTTGGCTGACATGTTGCGGTAGGCATCCTTCTCCAACCCTCTGTCCTGAAAGGCCACTTTGACAACATTTTCATCGCCCTGCAGGAGGCAGGACACCAAAAGGAACAATTGTAATTGGTAAGAAAGTCAGTTATGATGACGAAGATAAGCGTGGACAGAGAAGAAGCAACAGAGAGGGGGACGTTGTCTCTCTATTGTGGGACTCACAGCATTAACGTCTGCCAGCTTCCTGTAGAGCTCCTTGTTGTCCTGCCTCAGCTGCAGGATGCGCTCTCTGTTCTTCTTGATGGCGCACTGAGAGCTCTCATAGGACGCAGTTCTGTCGCACTCTGGTGGACACATGTAATCATTACATCGACAATGCGTGGGGTTAGATGCGAGATTCATGATCGACGCTCAGATGAACACACTCACCCAGAAGTTGGATCTTTCGCTGCATCTCCGTTATCTGGTCGTGCGGAGCAGGTTTCTTCGGCTCGGCGCTGAACGCCATCCCCGTGCCGTGTTATTGTTGTTGTGTTATCAGAGGAAACGTGCACACCGTGTTACCGTGACCTGCACCAAGTCTTCTGGTTGTGTCCGGTGTTGCATAGCAACCTGTACACGTGAGCTCACAGCTTCACGTTAACCCTGTGGGTCTCGCGCGTAACGGTCTCGTGGTCAGTTTATTTATTTTTAGAAATATCATAAATGTTGGGAAACTACCATGTATGCTGCTCCTGTAAAAAGTAATAAATAAAGGCTTCCAGGAAGCATAGTCAAAAATAATTTGTAAACTTTGTACTTATGTCACGTATGACTGAACACAATACATATTTATGTTTGTCAGTGTATAAACTGTAGATACATAATGCATTTTTAACGACTAGATCAAATATATTTAGCCTAATGCTCTATTTCAAATGGCATTTTGTTCAAAAACGTGTCATTTGTCAGCGGTATCAAAATAAGATGGACAATACTGATAAAAACAAACAACAATCCGTGTTACTGTACACATACAAACCTAAGAAGCAGTGGCTTCTTTTGTTGTGTTGTCCTGATATGGCAACACAAACTTTTATTAGTTTACAACAAATTGAAAGGTAATGTAAAACTGACAACTTCCTTACAAACTCAACATCTGCACATTAATCATGGATATGTTGTATTTATTTGGAGTATGAACAACAAAAAGAACACAAGTTATTAAAAAATGAAGACTTCTGCCAGACTTTGTAATCTCTTAAGGCTTTGAATAACTAAGCTTTTTACTGGAGGCAGTTTAGCAACTTTGGTTTTGTGAGCAAATTTCAAACGTATTCAATATACGTATTAAACTGATAAAGCACAGCTTCTGTCATGTATTAACAGGCTACATTCAACCATGAACTGGAAATCACTTTGAAAGATTCTCTTGGATTCTTCAAAGCTTCCACGTAAACTGCACGACAGAATACACACAACGTGACAAAAAAATACCAAAATGTACAAAGAAAAACACGAGTTTTAAGGCAAGCTGCTGCTTAAATTAACTACAAGTATCATCTGTAATTCAAGCTCCCATATTCCTTCAGATATAAAATAATCCTTGTTCGGCAAATACAGCAGCCTATGGGCTGAAGGCTTTGTAACAAAATACAAAAGGATCGATATCATACACACAACATTATTCATCTCATTTGACATCAGGACACAAACATACTGTTGTACATACACCGGAAATGGCATCGTAATTCCTCCTCAAAATCTGATTTCCTCTTAAACCACCACACACACACACACACACACACACACACACACACACACACACACAC